TTATTTTAAGTTTAAGTTTCTTTTTATTATCATTTAAAAAAAAAATGCATTTATCTACTGCATTTTCTGATATTTTAATAATGTAGGCCTACTTTGTTGTAAAGAAATGTCAGGGGACATTTTCTTAAAAGAAGGGTGGATGTGACATGTGTCATTTATCTGATTTTACACTTTTCCACTCTCTACTTTATCGAAAGTTATTTTGTTTTCAACCCTATGGAAGAATGTGACAGTCACCACATTAATGATCTTCTCAAGGCAATGTAGATTGGTGATTTCCAGTCTATAATTGATAATGTGTTTATTTTATAAGTCTTCTAGTATTTGGTATACCGGGTGTCTGCCTTATAACAGGGACGTATGCATGTAAATGTGCATCAGTACACGTTATACGTAGGCCTAATAGAACACATAGGCCTAAGCGTGATTAAAAAAATCTTAAATCCATAAATCTCAGGCCAGGTCTAAATAATATTTATAGCAATAAAAAGTGAAGAAAATTGTGCTAAATGCGAAAAAAAGTTGTGATTTGTTGACCATAATTATTATAGTATATATAGTTAAAGCTTAATAAGCTATAGTTAAGCCTAAGTTGTCCCGGATATTAAGTAGATCCCTGATAAAAGATCATGATAATTTGTTGGCATTTCATTTTGACTATAATGGTGATGTGATGATGAATTTTACTATATTATAAAAGTGTCATTTCCGGCCACCTTGAGAGGTACTATTTCCTCAAATTTTCTCACCTCAGCCCCAGCCATGGTGGGGCTGAGGTGGTTGTGAAATCACGTTTTTGAAGTAGGCCTATGTAAAGTACATACTCAAAGACAATGTTTTTAAGCTTTGTTTTCTATGGTATATCACACACACATTAATAAGATCTCTATGGTTGTCAAAAATCCCTGACCATCTAGAGCTACTATTTCCTCAAACTTTCTTACATCAGCTCCAACCATGGTGGGGCTGGTGGGTGTCAACTCACAAAATTCCCTCCCCTCCACCTTTCAAAACAGATATGTGCCCTTCCCTGGGTATGACATTAAACTCCATCGAGTTTGTCTTAGTGACTGCTGTTTGTTTTTAGGATGTGATCTGATTTTCATGTCCGTTTTTTGTGATCATGACTATTCTGGATAAAGAATGTTTTGAGCAGAGGTGGATTCAAGCTCCCCCCTCCCCCTTCATTTTTTAAAGAAAAAAAGAAGAAAAATATATTCAAATTGAAGTGCGAGAGCGTAATTTCCGGCCATCTAGAGATGCCCTGATCATAAATTTTCTTACCTCAGCCCCAACCATGGTGGGGTTGAGGTGGGTGGTTCCTCTGTCTGTGAAAGTCCCTCCCTGGTTCATCTCTCTTTCGAATTCCTGTATCTGCCACTGTTGATTTATTATATAATTATTTTTGCGCTTATTTATAATGCGTCTATTGCAATTTTCCTTTATCCTCTCAAACAGTCCTAAGAACGTTCAGAGTGAGCTACTTCACAGGGGGATTCGCCCCGTTGACCCTGCCAGGGTCCTACGTAATTCGCATAACGCCCCCACTTTCAAAATCATGGCTACGTCCCTGCCTTATAATAGTAATTAAGTGGAATACTGTACTTTGTTTTCAATGTATACATGTTAAGTTGAGCGGTAAAGTGACCATTCGCATTCAGAAACCTAAGGATTAAATAAATACCTCAGTTAACAGTTAAACGTTTGTTTCTTTATACTTTTTTTGTTCATCGCATTTAGTGCCATATACAAATGGCTGTGTA